ATTTGTTTATTTGGGTAAACACATATATTTATACTTTAGTGTAAATAAATAACGCATCTCGTCTGAAAACCTACTGGAGACGTCATTTCTCTTCATTTTGTTGCCGCCATGTTCTCAAATATCCAATGAATGCCTTCTTTATACATAGCGGTAGCCATATTGATCGAGAATTTTTTGTTGTTTTTTTAATGTTCTGCAATGAGTAAGCTTATAAGTTTAATTTGGATTAAATGAACACTTCGACAGAATTTTCCGAATTCATTGATCACAAGAATCTCGATATTTCATAGACAAATGCGCGGTACAAAATTAGGATATATCAAAAGTATGAAGTAACCAAAAGATTCCTTGACGTTTTTTACGTCTTGTGGGAAGAGGTGATCACTAATACGCAAATGACTCTCGTTTGTTTACGGGTATGAGCATTCCTCTTGACCAATGTAGGTCTGTTGCGCACACACATCGGTCGAGAAGAGACGAGAAAACATGGCGGTGTCGAAGAAGCTCGTTCGGGGTTAGCTGCTTTATTACTTCAAGAAGGGCTTGTCCGCAGCTGCATTAAATCGTCGAATACGTCAAGCTTTTGGGAGATAATTCTGTGAGTGAACGCACTGGTTCCAGAAATTCAGGTCAGAAGATGTGTTCATTTGTGGTGAACCTCGTAGTGGCCGGGCGCAGGACCTGGATGATGAGGCCCCGAAAGTGCCAAGTTCGTGGTAAGTTTGCCGAACGCTTCCAGGTTTCTGAGGAAACAGTCATCTGTACCGCATAGGAAAGGCATACAAGTGGGTACTCCACGCACACTCGGAAACCAACAAACAATAACTAGTGACAGTCTGTTTCATGTTGCTTTCTCGGCACCACAACGTATCCATATTTGATCGAGTGCTCACCAATGAAGAAAAGTTGTTCCTATACGACACTCCCAAGTGTGCCAGACATTGGTTCTCACCACGGAATCCAGTTACTCATACCACAAGACCAACTCCTCACCCACGTAAGATCATTCTCTGCATCTGGTGGACTAATCGACAAGTGGTACACTATGAGCTGCTACCAACTGGCTAAATATATCACTAAGGACTTGTACTCGCAGCATTTGGAACGTGTGCAAAAGGAATTGAAGCAAAAGTAGCCAGCATTGATCAATAAGACATTGGTTAATCAATATACTGTCCCTACATGACAATGCCAGGCCTCATGTGGCAGAGGTGGCCAGGGTTACCATCCGGTGACTTGGCGGGGGGGGGACACAGTGCCATCCACCTTACTCCACGGTCCTTGCGCCTACAGATTATCTCCTTTTCCATTCCCTAGGCAACAACCTTATGGTAAATCCTTCGCAGATTTGCACAGGCACTCAAAGACCTCTTTGCGTCCAGGAGACGTGATTTTTACCAACATGGCTTTGCGCAGGTGGTGGCGTGTTGACGAACTGTTCTGTGTGCAGATGGTGATTACTTTGAGGACTAAGGTTATGTCAAAATTGCTATATCTCCATTTTAAATAAATTAAAAAAAAACGGCAAGGACTTTTTGGGTTACCTTTGTGTTTTAGTTTGTTTTGTTTTTTAAAATCTTTACTTCAAAATTTATTTCATGTACATATCTAAGCACTTTATTATAAATTAATTGTATTAAAAATATTTTCGTCTTTTAAAGACTGTTACTTCAAAGAATATGTCATATCCCCATCTAAATACTCTATTATACACTAATTGTATTAAAAATATTTTCGTCTTTTAAAGACTGTTACTTCAAATATTTCATGTCCTCATCTAAATACTCTATTATTATATTATACAACACTAATTGTATCAAAAATATTTTTTTCTTTCTCCTTGACAAAACTTTATTTCAAAGTTTACACAACTAAAGGCCTATATTATACACTAATTGTACTAAAAGTATTCTAGTTTTTTATTCCTTTTTCGGTGGCTGCCAACAATCGTCCATGCACTTTGGAACCGATTTGAAGTGGATTTGACAAGCCTTCTCTCTTTACCGCTTCTTCTCTGTGTTTCTACACGTCGGAAAAATGTTTTCTACACGTCGGAAAAATATTTTATGTATTCAAAGTTCGAAGTTGGCCTGATGTGGGCGTGTTACCAAATAGTGCAAGCGTTAGCCTTCTGATCAAATGAGCCGGTCAGTTTGTCAAGGCGGTAACATCTTGGTAGTATCAGACTGAGGAAACAATTCTAGCATACGGCACCGTAAAGTAAATGGCTGACACGAGTGTTTGACCCAAGGGTGGGCGGTATATGGTCAGTTCTTCCCAGGTTTGCAGGTTGAAATTGGCCAGTTTCTTTGTCGGTTTCAGTCGATCCTTCTCACGAGGAATTATGCATATTATAGTAAGAAACTTTAGCGATTTCATCTGCAAAATCTCCGATCAATTAAGAACATTAACTGGGAGGATAATGTCCCCCAAATTATCAGTCCTTGAGAAAACTCAAACCAACAGCATCGAAATCAGCAGCATCAAACACCGCAGACGAAGCATTTCGTAAAAACATCGACAGACTCCCGTGCTAAATCCCTTTTATAGCCTGTTCCATTTGATCCATACAGCGATCCTTAGGGCAGCAATGATCTTTTGAGGAGTTTATCGTTGTTCATGCGGATTGCTTTTTCTAGCCATCAAAGGCGGTGTTTGATGATAGTGGCTTCCATGATGTTGTGTTGAGTTTTCTCAAATTATTGTCCTTAATTGGCCGGGGTTTTACAGATGCAATCGCTCAAGTTTCTTATTATAAGATTGATTTGTTTGTAAAACGGCATATCATCTCCTTATGGGTCATTTAAGGTCGTAATTTAATTTTCTTGGGAGCTTCGAAGTAACAAATACAGTGTAACCCGGATATAAGAGACCCGGATATAAGAGACCCGGATATAAGAGGAACCCGGATATAAGAGAAACCCGGATATAAGAGAGATTTTCTCTGGTCCCAAATTAGAGCCCATACTTACCTAAACAAAATAGACCAAACCCGGATATAAGAGAAACCCGGATATAAGAGACTTTTTCTCCGGTCCCGACAACTCTCTTATATCCGGGTTACACTGTATATGTTATTCTGGTAGAGACACAGCTTCTGTGCAAATAAATGTTTGTAAGGACATCATTACTAGAGACGGTGATATGTGTGTTTTATGTCGTAGTTTTGTTGAAGTTATATTTTTGAATACAGTTTGATTTAAGAAATTTTCTGATATTATATGAATTAATGTCATGAAAGTGTCCTTGTTGATTATCTGTTAGTATTTTTAACGGATTTTGGTGAAGTTGCTACAATCTGTTAGTATGAGCGTATTATTACTATTTTTACTACAAATATGTAGTGCTGGTATTTTTACTATAAAAATGTATGGTGTTTTGTTTTGATGTTCACTATTTGCCCATAGCTGGGACCCTAGCAAGAGCTACTACCCTAGATCAGGGTGGACTTGGGAACAACAGCAACTAAGAAGTGGTTCCACGCTATTCAAAACTTTCAATCTCTCGATTAGAGGCATTGCTGCCGGGTGTAGTTTATCATCATACCCAGTACATATTCGTACTTCATAGATTTAACTACAGTCCATGGATTGGATGCATCTCATGAGCATATGGACTGAGGAGGAACAGAGTTTAATACATTGTCCTTTCAGTCATTTAATTACCGAACATCACATTATTTAATTTTTATATAGTATATAAATGGATGTTACCCAGGAATCGGGGAGCTGAGTTCGAATTCCAGTCAAATCCATTACATTCACTTGAGAAAGGTATCAATCTTCTTCTTCTCCCCTAGCTATGGGTAAATAGCAGGACAGACCAGGTTCTATAACCTTAGATGGCAACTGGTCTACCGCAGAAATAAATGGTAACCTATTGCGGGAAAAATCTGCCTCGTCGCTTGTGCATAAGCGTGTATCACGCATGGCACATAACTGACTTAGGAATGCTTATTTAAGAAAGTATTATTCTTTTATCAGTACTACTGAAAAAAACGACATCGAAAAAATTTTGCAATTACATTGTACCGATATAATATCAAAATCGTTTTATTGCTTTATTTAGGTCAATGAAACATTTTGATTGGTCACAAATTGGGGGATTAGTTTATTATTCTCTTCTTTTTCCATGTTAGATTTTGATATAATTCATTTATTTTTGCATTTTGTGCTGGAAAATTCTTCTGAAATCACTGGTGAAATTATTTTTCAGTTGGACTTATGGAGCGAGCGTAGGAGGCGAACGAAATGCCCCATACTAGTGGGTTTTCTTTGTGCTGGAAAATTCTTCTAAAATCACTGATGAGTATTATTTTTCAGTAGGACTTATGGTCAAATATTAAACTAAACAAATAACATTCTATTAACTATTGAATAATGATTATTTCTACACCATTAAAAGAATACCAGGAAGCGTAGAAAGTTTGAAGCTATTATGCTTTTGTAGAGCCACAGCCAGTTGCGTATATTGATAATCACTCTGAGGAACTTGGTGGGTCTGGAGGCATAGTGGAAATCATCCGATCTTTGGGCGAGTAAAAAATAATATATATGATGAATAATTATTTTCAGAGTTTATGCGGAAACAAAGATTCAAATTCAAATTGCGACATATTTATCTTCTTTTTATTATTATTGGTTCCTGAATTTGTATTAAATTGAAAACATCTTTATTATTTGCTCGACTGGAAACATAATAGCTTCTATTTAAATTGATTTGTTTTTTAAGACTTATCAACCTTCGACAGATTATTTAAAGTAATTAAATATATTTAGATTGTAAGAATTTGGAGGTGGGGGATAGGAATAATAAAGATTAATTTATGCAAGTCTAACTAATTAACTCATAGCTGGAGTGAGAAGAGGTGGATTCATGCCTTTCCCAAGGATATTTTCCCATAAGTGAATCTAATGAACCCGATTGGAATTGCAACTCTGTTTTCTGATTTTAAATTCCGAACCGTTATCCATTACATCACCAGCACATACAAAATTATTGCACCTGGGATTCCCAAGCGGTCAACAATCTAGGTACTGGCCAGGCTCGGCATTGCTTAACTTCGGTGATCGTAAGGGAACCGGTATTTCATCGCGATAGAAACTAATATTATGAACGTATGTGCTTATAAAACTCAGTAAATTTCAAAATAAGTTATTCCAAAATTCGCTTGAAAATGAAACAAAACTAAGGACTTTAATTTAATTTAATTCTATAATTTAATTTGAAGTTTTAGCTTCTGTTTTTGAAACATAGTAGCGATGCTGTGTAGCGATGGAACCATATTTTTAAATAAGTAAATTTATAATATATATATATATATATATATATATATATATATATATATATATATATATATATATATGTATGTATCTATGTGTGTGCGTGTGTGTATTTGCACGTGAGAGAGAGTATAGAGTGAGAGAGAGTCGAGAGAAAAATACAGATTTTAATAGCCGGACATTGGCAGATTCAAGTGTCATTTATTGCATAAAGTGGGCTTGTACGTTATTTATTATCCATCGACAGAAATAACTTTTTTTATTTGCTTAATGCTTACAAAACAGTCCTTCTTTCTCGGTGTTCGAGACATAAACGTTCTGGTTCGACGAAGAAACAATGATTTGCTACACAATGAACTCAAAATCCACAGACATAAAAAAATTGTTGGCCGAGTTTAACTTCGGATCAAGCGGTGTGATCAAAACCGTGTGTCAAAAGGACATTTTTCTCTTGACACCGCTATTACCGTATACACCTTTTGTAATTCTTGATACTTTCAGAAGCTATTTTTAGAATTGTAATAAAACTGTAACATCTGAAATAGAATTTATACATTTTTGTCGAGAACTGACAACAAAAATGTTTAGCACCATTTATTTGTTCCATTGTTTATTTACAAGTTTATAAAAGAAAGACGTAAGAAGAATAAAAACTAGTAGCAACTGTGAAAAGTTCACAGTTTTCTTATTTGTATTTTCTGATCTATCATAATATTTAATCGATAAATAAGCTCATTGCAAGTTATCCGTTTATAAAGTAGCTGTGACAATTCCCCTATTGCATCGATAAATATTTGAGCTTAACAAACTTAACTAAATATTACTATAATAATTATAAGCATGGATTCTGTTCGTTATTAAAAGAAGTAAGAGGATACAAATGAAAAGATTAAAAATTGATGAGGTTTCCATTTCGCGCAAGCATACGTTAAACATATGAGTGCGATATCGTCTCCTCTACCTTCACTTTCTTTCTTTCTTTCTTTCTTTCTTTCTTTCCTTTCTTTCTTTCTTCTCACTAAGACCAGACAGCGTCTTTGATATATCTTTTCTTGTCTTTCCTTGCGATCAAAACGGACTACTTCGTTATTTATTAAGTATTGGCAAGGCGTAACATACGTTCGGACTAATTAAGGCACTAAACCACAAGAATAAAGATATTTTTACGAGAATGTGAAATTTTATTTGAGAACTATAACAATAATTTGTTTATTCACAATGTTGTGGTTGATTTTGATTAACGGCATATCAACCTCTATGGGTTATTTCTTGCGGAATTCTAACTATTTTGTACACAATTTTATGGCTTCATCTACAGATATTTTGTACATAACTTGATACTTTCAGGGTAAACGTATTTTTTCAGGGTAATCGTATTTTAGATATATAATTTGTAGATGACCAAATGTATTCTTGGTAATGTGTTTAAATGTATTGCAAGAATGTAGTGTGTAATTTTTATAATGTATTGCTGGTAATATAACAACGAAAATACGGTAATATTTTTTTTAAAAAGATGCATTGCTCGTAATTTTTATATAAAAAGTAGTGTAGCCATGCCGTCAAAATTAACGGCAAGAAGGAATCTATTAAAAGTAATATGTATCATATTGTAAGTAATTTTCGTTTAACCCAAGTAGAATTTTATAATTTAAAATAGTTCGTTGTTAATGTTAATAATTGAACAGTGTACAATTTATAAATACCTAAGGAAAAATATCCGTATATTATCCTCATAAATGTTACATTTTTACAACTAAAATTATGTTTACTGCAAACGTTTCCAAAGCACAATATTTTTTGTGCAAACTTTAGGTCTGAGTAATCCTTGACAGTCCGTAGATTTAATCTGTAAATTCAGAGTCTAATTTTTTCTCGTCCTGCTAAAAGCAACGTATCATATATATATATATATAAATAAAGAGGTTAAAAGAGTTTAGAAACTCTACTGGATAGTGAACCACTTCTCGTGGATTGGTAATGATGTCAATTGTAGTTTTGAAGGCTTTCTGATAGGCATTTCAACGACACTGGTGTTTTTAGGAGCCAATATTGCCCTCTCGTACAATCAATTGGTGTCGCCAAAATTGCCAGCCAGATCTGGAAAGACAGCAGCTTTGAGGTCGTGAACAGTATTTACAACGGTGCATATTTCTGAGATCTCTCCAGCTTCATCCAATGCCACGTAGCCGTCACCGTCTGCTAGAAGGTTCTTTAAAAACTGCGCAGACATTTGGTCCCCGAACAGTTCAGCTCTCACGTTGGTTTTAAGAGGCAAAATTTTGATCTCGGGCCACAGATGTGATGACTTAATGCATGCTTTCACAGCGTCCGCCCTTGTAACTTTGGGAACAACGGGAATAGTTTGTCTGAAATCACCTGATACAAGGACAGGTACTCCTCCCATTGGATGTTGACAATCCCTTATGTCTCGCAAAGTCCTATCCAAGGCCTCGAGAGCTCATTTGTGGGCCATCGTGTACTCATCCCACACAATAAGCTTACATCTTCTGAGGACGTCAGCTTTATTCGAACCGTTGCTGATGTTGCAGGTCGCTGAATCAGACGAAGTTAAATTTATTGGCAGCTTAAGGGGGGGGTGACAGAAAGGTTGCAGAAATTCCAGAGGATGCTACAGCCAAGGCGATCCATTTCCTTTGCTCTACTTTTGCTTCGTGACGATTTTTTTACCTATTCCTTCAGGTGCACCCAAGAAGAATAAACCACCTTTCCAAAAATGGTATTGTATTTGGACTCGTTCGACGAACATGGGGCAGGCCGTAAGTTTGCAATGAATTTCCGCCTACAGAAACAATCCTATCTTCAATGTCAATAACCGCTCTGTTTATAAATTCATCACTGAATCCTGTGGCAAAGCTACGAAGCATTAGTTACCCATGGTGTTTGAAGTTTTCAGAAAGATCCTCTTTTTATTTCTCCCATAAAGACATAGGATCACAGAGCTCACACGTGTGAAACAAAGAGTTGTTGGAGACCTCTTGCTGTTCGCATTACGGCAACCTGTGTGAGTTGCATCCCACTGAGCACCATCTTCCAGTATCCCAGGTTTGAAGCAGGCCTAGCGGTGCGTGCTGCAAACGTGCCCATTAAACCTTTTTTTAAGTCGCCGAAACACTTTGGACCTCTTACCTCATGTAGCAGAAGCCGAAGGTAAGAAACACTCCTGTTGACTAGGGTGGACTGTATATACTCTGCCAAGGCAATAGTCGGACTTGATTCCTGGGTGTCAATCAAAAGTTTATCTTAATTTTCTTCCTGACCATCTGTTGTATTTCCAAGTTTAGTATGATGATTCTTGAGGACATAGAAGGGTCTGAACCAATGAAACTTTGTCAAAGAATAGATTAATTAAAAAGTGTTCACGCGAACAAGTCAAAAGTCATGCTCGCAGTTCACTTCTTAATGTCAGACCATGGGCATAGAGATGGTAAGTGAGTAAACACTAAGGACGTGGTATAAGCAGACGTTCACACGAATTAAGGGACCGAAAGGAGGCATTATTACTGTTTACACGCACGGGTTATGGGTTGTGTTTGCAGTCATCAGACAATGCAAAAAAGGAATTAAGGAATATGGTGATTAAAAGAAGGGCATTATGATCGTGGCTGGTAATAAGGGGGAGAGGTGAAGTGAGTAAACACTAAACACGTAGTTAAAGCAGTAGTTTACATCAAATAAGACGCTGAAAGGGGGGGATGCATTAATAGTGTTCACGCCCACATCTCAAAGGTCATGCTAGCAGCTCAACCCATATTTCACACTATAGGCGGAGTAAAGATTAATCAGTTTAATCAAATAGCAGAAATTTAATCAAATAAAACGAAAATTTACAGCGAGTTCATTTCATACAGAATTAATTCGAAACATTCCTTGGCGCATGTGCAATGTTCATGCAAAATTTGGAACGAATCTGTTGAAAACTGAGGAAAATGGTAAAAAATCGAATTTTTTTTTTCGCGGGTTTTTTGCGATTAACGTTAATGACCTTAAAAAAAAATAATCAAAACAGTTGTTGTGTCTTAAGTAATGATCGTGCCAAATTTGGAGAAAATTGCTTGAAAAATCAGGAAATTATAGTAAAAAAAAAAACTGGTATTCTAAACAGTTTTTCGTTACACGCGGGAAGGATCGAAAAAATAAAATTGGTCTAGACCATTTTAGAGCATAAGCTATCAATGTGTCAAGTTTGAGCAACATCGGTTGAAAAATGCGGAAATGTATAACGAACATACACAGACATATTCAGTTTTATATATAGAGATATGTCCCGGAAAGGGATATATTTGTTCGAAGTAGCAAAGTTGCTGTTGACTACTGCAACCGGGTAGGACAATCTAGCAGGTAACCGTAATGGACTGGTCCTCGTCATAGTGGTAGGCAGTAGGCGTAGGTGTAGGCAATAGGCGTAGTCTATGTACCTCCACCTCAGTCTGTATTTATGAATGACACCAGGCAATCATATTACTGTAAGTGGAAATCCAGATGTATGCATATTCATTACATATATATATAGTGATTTTCCAAGCGTGCCGAAAGAGGATCGAACTCATTACTAAGTCGTAATTGTTCGAGCGAGACAAGCTTGCTAACCATTACACCGCCTCGAGGTGCCCCAGTTTTATATATATAGAAGACAATAGTTAAGTTCTATATTAAATACAACACTTAATCTACGTACACATACCTAATATACATATCAAGTAGCATTTAACAGAGTCGGTAGATATTTTTGAATTTCGTAAGGTCGAAGATCATAGTTTAATTATTTATGTTATTAAATACATCTGCTTA